AGGATAAGAATCAACAGCTCCATCTGCCTCCAAGTCCCTTTTTGTTGTGTGTCACCAGTGGGACTTACAGATGAAGTTACTGACCCGGTGGTAAGTCATCTGGCACTGCTGGGAAGGAAGCGCAGCAGCTCCCTTTCAGGGGTTACTAACTCTGTATTAAATCTCTGCCTGTGTGACACCCTGCAGCTGCTCAGCAAGCCAAAACGTCACCCCTGCTCATACTTACCCAGTGAGAGCAGAGCAGGCCTGAGTCAGGCAGTCCCTCTTCCCAATTTTGTTAATGCAGTCACTAAACGCCGTCTTGATGTCAGGTATCGACAGACAAGTCTGCAAAGGAAAGCGAAGAAGAGCTCGCTTGCCACATCACAAGGTATGGCCACCTTCCAAAACAAATCTGACCACATCCGGAGCTCTGCTTCGCTCGGGATGGCACGACACCGGTAGGGTAAAACCCCTCGCCCGCTAACGCAGCAAATTCATTACATTCCAAAAAAACCCACCCCAAACATACTCTTTTTTCACCAAAGAAAACACTATTATCAGCCAGAATGCACACGCTGCCACACCTCCCACCTTGTTCTCAACCACCATCAGGTCCTGTGCTTCTCTCAGGCCGCTACGAGGCTGCTGGGATGTGGTTTGAAAATACACGAACGCGTAACCCCTGCCCCGAGCAAACCAGCGGATTACTTTCCTCAGGTAAATCCCAGTGCCACCACAAAACATTGACACTTAGAGTTACAAATAACCTGCCCTACGGAAGCCTAGCCTCGCATCCTCCTCCCTGAACACCGGAAACAAGCCCCAGAAGAATGACCAGCCTTTAAATCCTTTTCTGATCTCGGCGCTCACTTTTTCCTCAGAAACCTTGGACAAGCCATTTAAGCATCTCAGCTGGCACAGAGCCAAGCTTTCTTCCTCTCTTTGCAACAAAATTTTGGACCTTGAGTGAGGCTCAGATGCACGTTTTGGACAAATGCTTACTCAAATGCCAGACGGGACCCTTGTGAGCCTTGAGGATCAGTCCAAGCGGATGCACGCTTTGAAAGAACAGACGACTTGCAAACAGGAACTCGGTCTTCTACAAGTCTGGGCCTTAACTCAGCCGAAAATAATAATACGAGCTATTCATTTTGCAAAATACTGGTTCTGAAGAAATTAAATACAGGAAACTATGGTGGGGATGACCATATGACAAGTAAGTAGGTTTCAGTGCTTGTAAGTAAAACGAGTTCTTAAGAAATGGATCGAGAGGAGTTTAACGACACCCAATTCGCACAGCGCCCTTGAATCCAGACTTGTGATTTTCCACTGTGAAGGGCCTAGAATATTAGTTGTGCAACTTTTAACGACTGTACTTTCTTACGACCTAAGTTGTATTTCAAACTTGCAGTTACAATCAATGAGCTGAAAAAGTATCCAGAAGTATTTCTAACTTCATTGTGCCAAAGCCCTAATGACCTACTTCAGGACTTCTGTCAAATGAAAAACAAAAAATTCGTAAAGATGAGCTGTCACCCACAGGAAAAAGAGCAAAATAAATTTAAAAATATATTTTTTTAAAAAAAACAAATACTAACTTTACAGTCAGACCGGACTTGGGAGTTGGAATTTATACCAGTTTAGGTGTGGAAGATGAGCAAGAGATTACAACCAAACAACTATTCTCTACAAGTTCATAAAAGACGGTACTTTAGTTTTGGTGTGACATTCATGGCCAAATAAGAGCAGCAGGTCCAACTGCATCTTGATTTAAACCAAAACTCTGGACAAGTCAACTACCCCAAAACTGGGAGGGAAGAAGAGCTGCATGGCAGGCATTTTTCACGAGGTACTTTTCATGTTGTTACTCTTTCTTCAGTAGATGAAACTTGGCAGCAGGAAGGTTAAATACTGAGGCAGCCGAAGCTGAGCAAACACGTCTTGAAATATACTTTCAGATTATCACAGATTAATATCATAGCGTAACAGTTTCTCTTTTTCTACAAGCCTGTGTGAAGCAATCGGGTGACAGACCTTCCCAAACCACCAGCAGCTCAGTGCCCCCGCACACGAGAACCCAGCTCCGGCACCCTGCCCATCTTGGAGGCCTCGGAGGAGTCCACTTGCCCCAGCGCAGCTTAAAACTGCTGTAGGCTATTTTATTTGGTTTTTTATCCCCAGCCCGGGCCATTGCTCTCCAGAGAAACCTGCACCAGAAAGAGTTTTGCTTCTGAGACTTGGCACCGTTTACCCTGTTGATAGCAGGGCGTCCCCGCAGTCTGTCTGCAGAAACGTCCCTTCCCCCGGGGCACAAAGGACAGTGACCTGCCCGAGAGGAATAAACACCATCGATCTATCAATTCAGAGAAGCCTTGTTTTAGCATTCAAGGGGAAGCCACGCACTGGCACCTCATCTGACACCGGAGGATGAGGCAGACTACCCGTCACTTCCAATGAGGAGCACTTGAGCTTCTCATGCTCAGGAGAAAATGTCAGCTGTGGCTTCTAAGTTCCCCTCTTTACCACCTCCCTCTCTACATTACAGAAGATTTGTTTACAGATGTGTTTTTGTTTCTCAAGCCGAAACCACATAAACCCTGAGCAAACTAGGGAAGCTGGATCTGTGATCACATAAACAGCGTCCCATTACAATCACCAAATCCACAGCTGACCTTTCTGCAGTGATGTTATCTACCCCACGCTTCAGAATACAGTCACACGACGAGTCGCATTTCTAGCTCGACTTCCCCAAAAGAACGTGCTGTAAAACAGCTTTTTATGGAAGCTCTTCAAGGCACAGCCTGGCCAGGACTGACCCATCTGCGCAGCGTAATTCCTCCAATGAAGGGTTCAGTCACCCAAGACTCAGGAATTGAAAAAATCAATCAAGGAGCAAGGCTCCATTTCTGGAGTCACCTGCAGAAAAGTACCAGTGGCAAAAAAAGTTTGCATTGTAGAGTCTTCAGCTGTGTGCCAAAGCCACTGCAGAAACAGTAGCCTAAGTAAAACTAATAAAAAGTCTAACCTGACCTACGTTCTACGCTCTTTTTTTTCTTTCCACACAAGCTTATTTTAACTAAAGTTTGTTTAAATTAAAACAAGCTTATTTAAATTAATACTAACCTTACAGGAAAGCTGTGGTGTTGCAAATTAGAACGCTTATTTTCTAGCAACCGTGTGGAAAACAGACACTGTGAGGCTTCAAATACATGCTGCTACTCACCATGACTCCTCTCATTTTTGAAAGACACGAGGAAACTTTCCAAAATTTATTTTAAGATTACAAAGTCAAAACTTCCTCCCTCACGCAACAATTTCATATGCTATTTTTCCAGCTCGGTTTTTCCAGTATTTTAACAGTACTCCAAAAGGAGCTGTTCTACGTGCAAGCTTTGACCATTCTACAGCTCAGAAACATGCAGCTTTTATAAACATTTAAACAGCTGCATTCATGTCGAAACAGCAAATTTCAATTCTTTTTTTGCAGCTTTTTTTCTGCAGCAAACAGTAGGCAAGCCAAACTGCCTGATATTTTCAGAACTGGCATTCAGACTCGAAAGGGAGCCCGCAAGAATTATTATATATATTGGACACTTAATTCCCTTGCAAGGCAATGGCTCCTTTAAGAAACAAAACCAACTCCCACGACACAACATTTGAGCCAGTTGTTTCATTAATTACAAAGTGATCCAGATTTGAAGCCCCTGCTAAACGCAGCGCATTCTCCTGCTCCAAAATAAGTGTCCTGTATAGTATTGTCACGATATTAGAACTGGGGGCTGCATTTCAGCTCCTGATATGGCCAAACACTGCTCACGCCTGGAAGCGCTGAGTGGATGCAATTCAGCCCGTGGCAGTGGTTTCTGTTAACAGGGGAATTCTCCTCTACAAGCGATTTAGTGTCAAGGCCAAAAAATTCTTAAGTTTATGCGATTTCAGGCGTTGAGTCAGAACTTTTGTGAGCTTATTGCGAGGAATGTAAATTTCAGGATAAAAAAAAAAAAAAAAATCTATGTCAGATGTAGCGCTTCTGATATATTTCACCACAAGCCTTCTGCTGGCTTGTAAAGATGTAATCACCATTAATTATCTTCCACCCGCAAATACCAGTCAGGTTAAGATCCCACTTATCCTCCCTTACGATCCACATTACTGGCAGAGGGATGCCGGGGAGAATTCCCCACCGCAACCATATGTCTGGAGATGTAGAGCAGAAAAATCTCTGTTAATGCTAATCCTGTAACGTTCAACCTTCTTCCAGAGGTCTTCAATTCTGCTAAAGTGGTGCAAGAGAAACAGGCTTCTGGTTTTCTAAACTTTGCTTAAGTGAATCTTGAGTAATTACTGAAAAATCACCTGTAGTCCCTTTAAGTTTTGCGAACAGCACTGATGTTTCTTTGCTCTGTGTCCATGTTCAAGATCATACTCACATGAATTTCTTTTTTCTGGCTGGGGTGCCTGAAAGGCTGCTGTTTGCAGCCCCTGCATATCCAGCCATAAATAAAACTGGTACGTTTTCCAGGTTACTGCCTGCAGTTTATTTCTCAACAGCTCAAGGCAAGAGTGCAGACTGCTCCCTGCTGTAAAGCTCTAGTGTTGTGTGGAAATAGGAGAGTAAATATTCTGGTTTGCACACAAACAAGGCGGTGAATTTCCCCAAGTACCAGAGATCACGGTGAAGTCAGGGCCATAAATCAGGAGTTCTGTCTCAATCTCACGCCATCTTTTAAACAGAACTACATCTCTTTTCTTTCCGTGACCAGATAATCTCAGGAATGTCCAAAAATAGTTTGTTGTGTCAGCCCTCTGAAGTGTCACCAAATCCTCCTTTAAAGCCAAAGTGGTCTCTGTGGATTTCTCAAGCATTTCCCACAAGTGCGCTCACTGAGGTGGGTGTAAAGTCCAGAGGAAGAAGCTGGGAAGTATTTGCATACTTTGAAACTGGCACCAATCCCAGCTGCCAGGACTGGGACTCCAAATTCTCCTCAAAGCCTCTGGCTCCATCTAGAGATTAATTACTTGAACTGCAGTACAGGACCAGGTACAGCGCATGGAAAGGAGGAAAACATGGAAAATAAAATACCATGACCACTTCCGGCACTCTCTTCGCTTTTTTCCATGCTGGAGGAGATGAGGACTGCCCTGGATCCATCACCTGAACAGTCTCCCCGGACTGCCCACTAACTTGCCAAATACACAAAGAAGTTTTGAGATGCTGGAAAATTCAAATCACGCTATCAAGAAAAAGCATTCCTTGCTGGAATGCTTTAAGTCAAACAGAATGTTGCACTGAACAGATCTTATCTGGATATGGGAAAAGGATGACATTTCTTCACATACATTTGTTGTGCTGTTTCCAGGTAATAAACAACATAAAGTGCACTAAACATTTTTTTTTTCTGAATAAACAGGAAAAACCAGTATCAAGATACCAAGTCACGACACAAGAAAGATCCAGCAGAGCTAGTCTGTTCTGTTTACATAAAAAGTTCAAAACCACCGAGATGTGGTAAGCTCATTTATGCCACTGGAAAAAGGTGGGAGGAGAAAGGAAGAAATTCAGACTAAATTCAAAGCAATTGTTTCCAGCAGTGGAAAAGCGCCATAGGATTAGTCCAGAAACATGAAATTAAATTTAACATGACTGCAGAGCTCACCTTTCCAAGGCTTATTTCTCATGTAAGAAGTAAATCTGCAATATCCTTACCTCTACGTCCTGCTTGTTAGCTAACACCAGAATGGGAACCCCTTCCAGAGCTTCGCTGGTAATCATCTTCTCTAAAAAGCACAGCAAAAAAACACAACAGAGGTGTAGCCAGTTCTAGAAAATAAGGTTGGGCAAATGCCTGACAGACTACCTGGACATAAAGATGAAGCAAGAGGCCCCTCCTCACATTACAGTCTCATTTAATACAACCTTTCAGGTCTATTTTCTTCACAGCATTTTTTTCCAGATCAAGCCCCAAAGTTCATTTTGAAGAACAAGCATGCTACTGACAATTAATGAGGTGATAAATACAGAGTAAGGAAAAAACTTTCAAAGTCATTAGCATAAGCACAGAGGGAGATTCGAGGTCACTATAGGCAACAAAAGCGAGTCCTGTGCTACAGACAGGATGGACTTCCACAAAGAAGCGCAAAAGCGCCACAGATGTGTCACTGGCTTACTTGGGGACACGGGAACAGACACGACAGTAATGGGAGAACCATGCCACGATACGTCATGAACTCACAGTGCAGGGAAAACACAACGTACTCACCAAAAGCTCTTTTAGATTCCGAGAGCCTCTCCTCATCAGTGGAGTCAATAACATAGATCACTCCATGAGACTCAGCGTAATACTGAAAGGAAAGTGCAGGTATTAGTGCCTCTATCTGCCACGACCATCTGTTACTCTTCCTGATTTTTTTTTTTTGTTAAAATTTTGACATGTATGGAAGAGATCAACCAGTTAGAGCCAGCTGTTTCCCTAGAGTATGTCTGGAGGGAAGAGCAGCGGCACACGGAATGTGTTGCCTGTTGTGTTTGCAGGCCTGCGGAATACAACAGGTAAAAAAAGCTTCTCCCTCCCGGCACAACCCTAAGTTACGGGTTGGTAATTGCTGTCTGGAAACAATAATGCAAATACTAAACAGTATCTTTGCTTTGCTGCACAGATGTAGCTGAATCTCTGGACAAGTGTTGATGCCAACAAGCCGGTATGATTACTGAACGATCATATCGCTTCAATTCTAAAAGAGACAAAAACATTTCTAAAAGAAAAAAATAAAATAAAACAGTATCTCCAACCTTGTCCCAAAGAGACTGTAGTTCCTCCTGCCCACCCAGATCCCAGAACATTAGCCGAGTTTTGCCAACATCGATAGTGCCAACTAGAAAGAAAGAGGAGAAACCAATGGAAAACAAAGATGTTTTATAAAGCCTCAACGCTTGCACACTTCCTAAAAAATCCAGGGTAGAAAGTTTTCTAGAGGAACAAGCCACACACAGAAGCTACTTTCAACAATACCTTCTCAAAGAGTGACCACTAATATCAGACAGAGTCATATCCCTGCAAGTATCAGAATGAGACCAATGAACGAACTACTGTGAAATTTAGCTTAACCTGTGAGCGCAGCACTGAAACGAGATACTTGATTTTTCTTAAGAGTTTAGGGTTTTTTCCCTCGTAAGCTAAGAAAGGCCACTTTATTCTCTTACAAAAAGACATGGGGAATTAGGAGATATCATCTCTACCTCCAGGAACTATCCTGCCCTTGGCAATTTTTAAATATTTCAAACAAGAACCAGGTGCTGTATAACTGTGCAGGAAAGCTGAAAAAAATCCAAACAGATTGACTTACTGTTTAGCCCTACAGTGGTCGTGATTTTGGACAAACTCATCCCTTTGTAGTTCTTGTTAAATCGAGTTTTAGTTTGCTCAAGGAAGGTCTGAAAAGAAACAAGGGAAAGCATTTACTCTCAAATATTTCACTGGCTGGGGCAATCCTAACCCTAACTTGCCTTTTCATTTCTGCAGAATCCTGCTCCAGCAGATACTGCCCAACCTAACCTTGGAACTCTTCTTGCTCCCTATTTTAGCAAGGAAAGAAGGGATCACAGGTGATTACTGGATTACCAAAGCGGCAGCTACATCCCAAGCTTATGCTCAATTTAAGTAACGGGGAAAAGTTGATTCTTTACTAAAATATCTCCCCATACAGCTGAGGAAAGACTGACATGTCTGTTGGGAGAATGTTTAGGATCGCGTGTGCCCTCCACGCAATTAGTAACAAACAGCACTTACGGTTTTACCAGCATTGTCCAAACCAAGGATCAAGATGCAGTACTCATCCCTCTGGAACATGTATTTATAGAGGCCGGACAGCAGAGTATACATCCTGCTCCTGCAACCAGTACCAGGAAATCATTAACAAACAGGTCGTTTCCAGAGGTCTCTCATTCCACAACACAAGATTTCCCAACGTCAGATAAATAAGTGATGTTACTCTTTTATCAGTAACTCTCATATTTAGAACAAATCATAGATCCAAGAGAGATCATGCAGAGAGCTTAAGATCAAATTATCAAATGCATACAAGCGATGGATTGTCTTCCAAAGAGCTTAAGGTCTGTTTCTGCATGTAGTGCCTGGCACCCACTGCAAACAACCCTCATTTGAAAACTGCCCTGCCTGCTTCAGCACCTGAGGGCCAGCAAAAGAGCTTGTATGTCTTCTGCAGCACACATAAGACCCACAGAAAACGAAGTTGACTTCATATAAGTACACAAAACGTGTATTTTGAGCAAGAACACACATGTCAGACCCCCCAGCTTGTTCCCAATCCCAAATCCCAAATAGTATCATGGGATATTTAGTGGTTGCACTGAGTGCAGCGTATCTTAAAAACACAAAAAGTCTCTGCTTATCTTAATTTAAGCCTTATCCAGCAACAAATTTCTGTTACGGCATCCACCACACAAGTGTTTTGTCATCTTACAATGCCACAAAGACAAAAGAGGTAACTTAAGGAGCCAAAAAGCAAGGTATTAAGAATCAGGCAAAGCGAGGCCAACACCCGCAGAAGCCCACACGGTCTGGATTGGCACAACCACGGCAGGGAAGGTTTGCCAAGACGCCCGAAGCGCTCGTCCCAGGTGCTGAGCTGACACACATCGCTGCGAACACTCTGGTGTGGGCAGACAACGGGAACCTCCAGGTAAGGACTCTGAGAGGCTTTACGCAAGTGCTCGGATAAAGAATCGCTTTGAAGTCAAGCGACATTGCCGAAGGGAAAAAAAACCCAACAAACAAGAAACTAACGACAGAGCTGCCCTTCGGGACAGAAGTAAGGGACCTCTCCGGCTGGAGCG